AGCAAATAGACAGACAGATAGGAATAAAAAATAATGAGATAAATGGAAGGATTGGGAGGGGGAAAACAGAGACAGAGATAAAAATAGAGAGCTAGAAACCAAAAAGTAAGGGACTCATGACTCATTTGTATGCACTACTGGACATAAAAAAATTACATACACTATCTACTTGTATTTGCAGAGCAGTTTGAGAGAATTCATATAAAACTTCTCCAAATTCATTTCTTTTCTTTCTTTCTCTCTTTTATTTCCTTGCATCAGAAATGCAAACACCATTATGATGAATCTTCTACTTAGTAACTAGGAGACTACAATTGCCGCTCTCCACCCACCAAGGTGAAGTAAAATGGGTACCTGGTAGGAATTCCTTGAATGCTTAGTGGAGTACCTTAGAGCAGCTGGGCTAAGGCCAGGGTAATAATACTTCTTTTTAGGTGCTTTGAGCATCCCCTGGGATGAATATGTGTGCAATATAACCGTAAATGTAAATACAAATTTGCAATATAAATATAAATGTATACCTAGTTGTTATTAGGATTATTACCCGAGTAAACAACGGATGGAGACCAGTAGTTGAATGCCGTGATCCACGCTTCAAAGCCATGTGCCAACCACTGCTGTTGGACTACGAACGATGAAGCGCCCTCTTGTGCTGTGCATAGTGACAACCTCCCCTTTGAATCACTGCAGATAATACTAGGTTGGTTGCTGGAATGTCAAAAGATAATTAGAGGTGATTACTCGCACCATGTCCTTTACATTGTAAATAACAATAATGACTGAAACATATTAATTGTAGAAGCCGGATTTGTAAGCATTAATTGGTTTAATATCAATTGCAAGTCTATAAAACAAAGGTCATATGATTTGATTGTGACACACCTCTCAAAAGAAATTAGATATCCACCCCAAAATAATAGTGGTAAAAGAAACATGAATTTCATTGAACCACTAGAAAAAGGCTTGTGCTGCATGTCACCTTCCATAATATTATCAATCATACAGATGTTATACATTTTAGTGATTCAATTAGTTAATACAACTAAATCATTTCTCCACAACAAAATAAAGTATACAAAACAAAAACACAAACAAGAAGTTTAAATATTAGAAAGTAGTTACCAAGCATATTTTCCAGTTGACCAGTCAAGACTCAGACCAAGGCAATCTTGTCCAAGGTTTGTTTTTGAAGAAGGGATCAGCTGACTATCTACCTGCCATATTGCACAAGAGCACAAGATATATACAAAATGAAAATCATCAGTCACTTTCACAAGACAATCTGTAAACTAACAGTTTAGGCATGTAGTAACTCCTTGGTTTAGGTCATGGTTTTCAACTCTGAGGTTTATCTCTTATAGTTACAGACAGTGCAGACACACTTGTGGTTATGAAACTCAAAGTTACAAACCGCAAGCAATCCTATGGTTAGCGAAATAACTACAAGCAGCGGAAGGGGTGTGGGTGGGGGGGGGGGGGGGGGAGGGACTCCACTCAAATTTAATGCCCTTGTGGATGCAAGTTATTTCGAGGTTAAGCCAGCTTAAAAAACTCATCCTGACCCTATCTTAACTGAGACTCCAATTCTGCCCCTAACTCCAGTACATTGTACTGATGCTTAGCGAGGTATTCTATTCTGCAGTGCAGTTAAGCCTTTTTGGGGGGGGGGGGGGGGGGTGGGGGGGGGTAATTAACATACCAACTTGATTTTAGTTACCTCTGTTTTATTTAGTGTGAAGAGTTGTAGATCCCCTTCTGCATCAACTAGTCCAAGATGTGTTTTGCCATCAGTCAAATGTTGATTCCTACAAGAAACAATCAACAAATAATACAATTATTGCAAGCTTATGACTGCCAATCAAACTTGAGTACAGCCACATCCTAAGACCTTATGAACCTTTTCATCCTTTGGAATCATGCAGTTTAAAGTGAATTATCATTCTATTGTTGGATGAACTGTTGCTACCTGTGACATAGATTTGGTTTGATATCTACTCTCTGACAATATGTAGCTACTGTAGGCATTTAAGTTTACAACTGAGTTTATCATTTCAATTTCATTTTCATTTCATTTTATTTCAATTTATTGTCCAATATTGAAAATTAGTTTTGCTCACATTTTACAAACTTACAAAGAATAAAAATAAAGTGTACAAACATAATATATATCAAATACTTTGACATAGAAATCCTTCAAAATATTGCTATACAGCAATTTTCTTACGTTTTTGTATACAAAATAAGTGAATCCTGCTTTATGTAGGCAATGCCTTCCGAAATAATTCTGTCATCATAACAAAACACACACACCTTTCAAATTACCTTTACCCCCCCCCCCCTTTATCTCTCCCCCCTCCTCTCTTTTTTCCTTTCTTTTAATTTAATTATTATTATTATTATCTTTTTTTTTTTGGGGGGGGGGGTGGATGTTTGTTTACAATTTTTGTCCAGACATTATTTCAGTGCTCATTTAATAATAATAATAATAATAATAATAGCCTAATAGTCCACTCCAAATTTTATTAAACCGAAACGGAAATTCATTTTGCCCAATTGATCGTGAGCCCGGCAGCCACTGAGCAGCGCCAGATCGACGTTGCTCTATCCCTTATTGTTGAACGCCAAACAAGGTAGCAACAACTCCCATCTTTTAATGTCTTTTGGTATGACGCGGCTGGGGTTCGAACCCCAATATGGAACATGGTATTTGTACCCCATTCTCACCATTTGATATCTAAAATTCCAGGCATATCAATCTTTTGAACTTCTTCAAGGGTCCCATTCACATCTGATGATAACGTTTCTTCCACTTGAAGCTTGTAGAGTTGGAGCTGCCCCTTCCTGGTACTCTTTCTTTTATCTGTCGCTTCATCTTCAGAATCCTATTAGTAGAGATCGAGAGAGTGGGGAAGGGGTGGGGGTAAGCAGAGAAAGAATGAGAAAGAGAATAAAAGGGAAATCAGAAGATATGGACAGAAGTACAGGAGGGGAGAGATGGAGATTGAGATAAAATTTAAGAAAAAGGAATAGGGAGAAGTGAGATATTGGAGGGAGGTTTAGAACCGGGAGAGAAGAAAAAAGGAGAGGAGAGATTAAACAAGAGAGAGAGAGAGAGAGAGAGAGAGAGAAGGTGCCACATTTTAAGGTTTTGATTTATGGCTCATTTAGCTTTTAAAATTAACTCAAATATAAGACATAGACCATAATTTTGTTTTTAGTTTATAAGCAGACATGAAAGTAGGTTATCAATTACAACAAGTTTGATGCTTTGTATTATGTTTTCTCCTTTTGACTCATGATTTGGCATTATAGTAACGTAAGAAAACAATCATGAGATATTTATTTCAGAATTTGAACCATAAATACCTTGCATACCTGAGCTTGACCATTGCCTGTGCCTTCATCTTCTTGAAGTTGATACGTCCCACAGACTACATAGTCCTGTAGAGTTGGGGTAGGACACCACTCTACTGAGTCTGCATAGAGTCCAGTATCAATCTTGCATTGTGTTGCAATTCGACCAAGCATGCTGCCAGCTTCACACATTTTGAGTTCTAATCTACAAATAAAAAAGAATAAACACATTTTAACATTTCAAAGGATCCTAAAAAACAGGAGTACCCGCAGCCAGCACTATAGTCAATAGTTGATACCGCATTACCACTACAGGCAAAACAATTGGGAACTAAATGACAAAGAAGATCAAACTTTTTGGATCGGTGATCGACCTTTATAATCTATTGTCCTTAAAATTATTTATTTTATAGTTCACTTTGTTTTTGTCTGACCGGGTTACCTCCATTACCATAAATGAATCCAACAGAATACTTCCTCACTTTCTCATTATTTTCTGTCCCTTTTCAAACCCATAATTAACAGTCCTCTTCGACTTATACTACCCACATGAATAAAAGCTAGTTAAAACTGCAAGCCCATGGCCATGCAATAAAGTAATGCAGCTGCAGTAGGGTCTACATCTTGTATATGACTGCTAAGAAAGCGACCAGAGGACTGACAGCTAATTTAGGTCCTCTCCGAGTGACCTGGTAATCATGAGGATTTTTGACTTACCAAAGGACACTAGCGCATACACGTATCGACTTGGTACCTGGGTCGCCGGATTACGAGACCATGCACTGCTCTACCAACTGACATTACCACATGCAAAATTTAATCTTCGATGATCATGTGACAAGCCACACTGCTCAGTCATATATTACCAGTATTTATAGGCACGATCACTCATGTCACTCACAAGGGTCGCAGTCTAAGGGACTTTTAGATTTACACAACGCGCGAGAGCGTGGACTGCCGCGTGTGACATTGTGTTAAGGCACTGGGCCGTGCGCGGCAGTGGCTTAATTAAAAGGATGTGTACGTCACATTACCTTAAAAGGATGTCACACATGGCGGTACACGTTCTGGTTGTGTAAATCTAAAAGTCCCTACTTAACTGAGTGACTCAGACACATCACAGTTGAGCTGACACAGTCAATATTAATTATAATTTAAAGTTATCATGATTCGTGATGGTTGAGATTATTTCCAATCATGAAACTGTACAGTTAGCGCAGCTTTAGTTTAGTTTAGTCTTACTTCATCTGATAGGGTTCACATATTCAGCAGTAACACTTACATATCCAGTTCTTTATTCAGTCAGCTCAGCTCAAGCTCAGCTATACAACTTTACAGACTAGTACAGCTACAGTGCTGTGCACGTGCAACCATATGACTGAGCTGCCGCTTGTTCTAAGCGTTTCCTTATATTTCTTTTCATTTTTTATCCGCTCATCAAAGCCACGGTATTTCATTCGTTTTTAGAAAATTTCACAATAATAATAACAAAAGTAAAGACGTTACCGGTGCTGTCAGATCAGGCGTCATAACATTGCAACTGTGGCCCTAACCTGCATTAAAAAGAAGCGATTAGATAGCTGAAGATGGTAAGATGTTTATTTCGGCAGAGATCTACCAGGTACTCGTTTTATTGGCGATTCATAATTATTAGTCTAACTTTGTCGGTTGCGAATTGCGTCAGCGTCAACAAGGAAATATCCCGTCCGCTCCTGTGCTGTGTGCAGCATACCGTACGCTGTCACAGAGATCTCCCATGTTTACAAATCGAATCGGCGCGGCGGGGTCCCGGGTGTGCAATGTGTGAGACAGAGCTCAGAGTCCATCATGAAACCATCATGGCCATGGGTTATGTAAATGAGGTTTTAAAGTTTATTAAGTTAACCCTCCTTTGTGAATTCGGGCCTGAGAATTGAGTGAGAGTGTGTGCCCGTCATATGACGTGCACTTGTCATTTTTTATTTTTGTTCCCTTTCATTCATTCCCCTATAAAGGAGCCGGTTTTCGGCCACTTAAGACAAAATCCTATTTTTTGGACCCTTTACTTCCTATTTATTATCATTTTTTGTTCAAATCATGAAGCAAATATTATTATTATTTAAACAAAACAAGAATCCCAGAAAAAAATCACGAATTGCCATGACAATATTCATTTCAATTTTCACTGTTTCGGAGTCAGTTTTCGGCATAGCGTACCAGTTTTCGGCCGCGTGTACAAAGTCAATAGGAAGCGCGCGCACGTGCTGTGCGTTTCCGCGCTGATCTATAGCACTAGCGGGCGGAGCAGATATCCCACGCCGGAGCTCCCCGGAGCTCGCCAGGCCGAAAACTAGTACTGCGGTGATCGGATATTGGAATCTGAATTAGACAGAGATATCGTGTGTGCGTTGCGATGTGCGGCTGCATTGACTTAATACATGTGATGAGAAACTTTTGAGCTTGCGACTAGCACAAAGTCGGGCTCTAAATCTGAAAAATACTTTAAATAAAGCTCATTTTATGGTACCCATATTTCTTACAGACACGCGTAAGATACTCGATTTTTCAGATTCGGGTAGCGGGACCGCCGATTACATCGCTAAAATGTGATATTTTAGGATATATCTTTCATTGCAAATTTGGTTCTTCAGTGACACTGGCATGGTATGGTATGTGTGGGATATGTGTTATGCTATTATGCGATGTATTTTAGAGGGATTTTACCTTGCATCCAACCAATCGGCCGAAAACTGGAGCTGGCCGATTACCGGCTCCTTTACTCTATTTATTAAGTGACTCGGTAACATTGTTAGGATGATGAGAAAAAACTTTTTTGTATGAAATGTTACTTATTAATTATATTTCTTCTAGAGTAGATTACTAACCCTCTGACATGCAAAATCCAGGAGATATAAAGTTAAAATCACAAAGATATTTTTGGTTTCTTTGAAGGCGTCATGCTGTGCAACACCCTCTATCAGTAAATTCTCCCAACCCTTTTTGAATTTCCCTACCGGTAATCGTTTTTTCCATGAAAATAAGACATAAGAGTTAAGAAAGGCTTTAACAAATCTTTCAACACCACCCTTGCACGTTAAGAACCTATTGCACTATTCGTATAAGAGAAGGGGGAAACCCCGGTGTAATGGCCCTGCACACCCCAATCAGGCCGAGTATACGGCATCTGCAAGAATCTTCAGTATTGAAGGAGGCAGATTATCTTGAAGAAGAAAGGGGGGGGGGGGAACACTTAGTGACTGGAATGGTATGTAGGGTCTAGAGCCAATTCATTGATTTGTGACGATTTACATACACAGGTAGTCTATTAATCCATTCACCTAAAAATTGTAATAATATAGTTGGGAGAATTAAGGAATCGATCAGATCAGTTTTTCTCAATTTTTATCATTAATAATGGTCTGTTTTCACTCAAACTTTTAGATTATCTTAAGTTGCACATCTAGCATTTGAGTCACTATAGCTTAATTGCCCTTGGCATTTTCTCTCATCTGAACAATGTTACCAAGTTCCTTTAATGTTCAATTGTCTCTTGGCTCTTGCTTTTCAGTACTAGAGTTTTAGACGTCTATAGACGTACTATTTTGTTTATATTTTAAAAAAAAGAGTGGAATATACATGTAGGTAGTAGGCCTGATAGGTAGTGCCTTGTCAATTGTGACCACCAGTACCACAACTTACGAGACACACCACGCCACAATTTCCTTGTTTAGATGCTGAAAGAGGCTTTTGAAGAGTTGTGGCATAGAAGAATGGAAGTAGAAGTTATATACTAGACTAGATCTTCTTTTGTTATTGGATTGTCAAAAGTGACAAAAGCACAAATTCTGTCCAACAGATCTACATGTATTTGGGAGATAAAGAAAATGATAATGATGTAATTTCTTCCTGCACCATAAATTATTTTTCTAAACAGGAGATCGAGGCCGAGGTGAATGATCTTAATCCCATGTTGGATTCGCTGGCTGACTGGAAGCACATTATAGTCCGCGCAGATGCGTGGTTACAATGGGACGAAGACTCTTACCCGTACATCATGTGTGCTGCAATCACTGTCTTCTACATGTAAGCCCCAGGGCTGCGTTTCATGAAACCGTCATAAGTACAAGTTCAGAGACATCCCATTGAAACACATGTTAAAATTAATACACACATTTGAATGGGATGTCTATGAACTTGTACTTATGACGGTTGTGTGACAAGCTGCCCTGCTTCTTTATTCCCTAAAATGTCAAGAATATGTTCACAATCAATTTTGTAAATATAATTGTTGTATAGTAAGTTGTTTAGCTTCTTGAATTCCTAAAGTGGCTCTATGCTTACAAACAATTTCTTATTTATCATGCTGCAATATAAAGTGGCAGTAATTGCCACACCATAAGAAGTGGACATTTAATCACAATTGTTGTGATTAAATATGTATTATCCTGCCTCTTAAAGTCAAAATGAACAATGAGTTATGTGTTTGATAGTAGTAGTATCATCATCATCATCATATCATTTTATTGTTATTATCATTTCTATTATATACTATTAATATTATTTTTATTATTGAATAAACTAAAATCATTATCATCATTGTCAATATTATTATGATTATGATCATTCTTATCATCACCGATCATTATCATCATAATACCGGTAACTAGGATTTTTCTTCTTTCCCCTATGTCACTGTAGCTTGATTTGGTTGATACAGCCCTCTATCCTTACCACAGTGTCTCTCATCATCATGACGGTGTGCCTTCTAGACTTCATGGTACCCAGTGTCTTCAAGGAATACTTCAAGAAGCAAGCATGGTAGGCATAAGCTTGACCTATAGATGGCATAACCCTGCGCTGTGTGTTAACGTGCCCCTCCCCTTGTTTCATAGACGCAGGCTATATGAACTGGAAAACACTCCGTCTCTCGGATAGGACATTAAATGGAAGCCCTGTGTAGAGGAGAGTCACCACCTTTGCATGTTAAGAACCCACTGTACTATTTGTATAAGTGTAGGGAAAACCCGGGTGTAGTGGTCCACCTGCACACCCACAATCAGTTATACCAGTAGGAGGGCTAAACCCGAGGGTTAAACCTGAGGGTTAGACTGATTCAGTTCGCTCCCAGGCACATGTAATAACCTATTAGCTCTGAGATGTCGGTAGCTTATCACCATGTGTCATCACTTTCTAGTACGCTCCACTTCCATCTATCTAATATTGCTCGGATCAGACCCTACCTAGACAAGTCCGCGTGTGAGCATGCTGTACGTGCTCTCGTCACATCTAGGACTGATTATTCCAATTCTCTTCTATGTAATATTTCTATGTCAAATATCAATCGCCTGCAACGAGCTCAGAACCGAGCAGCAAAGTTGGTTTCCGCGCTAAGAAGCATGACCATGCCTCTCCCTTCCTTCCTCAGCTCCATTGGCTTCCAATAGAAAAGCGAATCACATACAAAATTCTCACAATGACCTACAAGTGCATCCATAAAATGGCTTCCTCCTATCTCCAAAACCTTCTCTCATTACATCAACCAGGAAGGCATGGTCTGAGATCTGGCAACGACCCAACCTTGCTCTCGGTTCCCAGGAGTCGTACACGCTTTGGGGATCGATCTTTTTCTGTTTCCGCACCACGTCTCTGGAACAATCTCCCTCAGGCTGTATGATCTTCTCCTTCTCTCGCTATCTTTCAACGTTCCTTGAAAACCTTTCTCTTTAATAGTTGAATTTATATATTTTTGTGTACGTAATTTTATTGTTTGCTATCAATGTCAATTAAGTAATGTAATGTTGTTAAGCGCTGTGATACACATGTATGTCTGTAAGAGCGCTATATAAATGCCAATATTATTATTAGGGAAATGTAGTGACATGAAGAGGCGCAAAAGGTGTAACAATTAATGATGTTTGTGAATTTAAGAAACCTTTGGTACATATCTGAATAAAAGTTTGTGTAAAATTAAGCCAAATCAAGGTACAGTCAAACCTGGTTATAGCGACCACCTGTCTACTAAGACCACATTTTTTTGTTTCCCTTGAAAATGGTTTCTCATTGAAATATGTACTAAAGGAACTTGTACACAAAGACCACATGTCTGTAAAGATCACTTTTCTTGTCTCCCTTGGGTGGTCCTTATAGACAGGTTTCACTGCAGTACATGTATTTGCCAGCTTCATATCCTAACGATCTCTAAGTGAAAATATTATGATTTTCAACAATCATGCACTTTGCATTCCTGTCCAGACTAGGGACCATTCTATTAGCGCCACTACATTTTGCTTTGCTACCTTTGAGTGTACAGGTGTATGTCTACATGTATGCCACGTCAGTAAAAAAAAAGTCTATCATATACAATGTATATGTGATAGTTTTCACTTTAATACACTACAGCCACCGAGATGTGCAATCTATCAATTGTCATGTGACCTCATTTAGACCATTTTTGTTGCAAGATTCTTAGTGTGCGTGATATGGATACAAATAATAGAGGGTTACAGTATATTTAAGCCCCACTGTACTACTTGCTACTTGCTCCCTCTATGTATAGAAAACAATGCCTAATGGGTGACCAATGGTCCCCTATGATCCTCTTTTTCTTTGTTAATTGAGAGCTGATTTGATGAGAAAGCCAACTGTCAGTGACCACCCTGGGTGGTCTAATCACTCCTAGCCAAACTAGTACAGATGGCCTTTAAAGTTATTGAACAGTGCTGCATGATTTTAAGAAAGAGAGGGAAGATCTGTGGGTATGCTTTGGTGATTAATTGCTCCAGGCACCAATGTAGAAAGATATTGGATGGAACGCTGGGTTACGATTGTATTCATCATCATCATTCAATGTCCAAATTTTCTTCTTCTGTTTTTCATGGTCTTTCTCCAAACACTGCAACTTCAGTACAATTGTTTTCTTTTGACAGATGGTGAATTTAACTCCATTTAAAAGAGAGACCAGATTGAGGAAGTAGAGATATTATGTACATTACAACATAGGTAGAATCACTCTGAAATTGAGATTTGAATTTCATTTTTCTTGTCACTTTTAGGTCAGAATTTAAACAGAGGAGGTATGAAAAATGCTGCAGTAAACTGCTTAACACTCAGAAGATGTTCATGTCAACTGGAAGGTGGATTCTAAACTTACGAGAAAAGAAGCCCAAATATGTAAGTAAGATAAACATTTTTACCCTCCCTTAGCAAGCAAATGAATTGTATGGTGGTTTCTACATCTGTAGCATTGAAAAACTGACAATTCTTCAAAAGCATTGGCAGGAGTTACAAATGTTTAACTTTATCAAAATCTGTATGAAATGTCATTTAATACAATAGGAGTATATATGCTCTACGGCTCAAGTTGATACTAGCAAAAGATTTAATAGCAAGTGCTTTGCTTCGTGTTTGCCTGCATCTACACATCTATGAAAAGAGAAACAGAAAGCAATTAGTTGTTATGGGATTAACCCATTATTTATAATTATTTACTTCATGAAATTTGCAAGTGATCAAGAAAAGCAAAACTCAAGACACTTTCAAAAATTGATGATGTTCCTCCTCTTCTCTCCCCTTTTAATGTAACCCTACTGTACTCTAGAAATGGAAGAGTATTACAAGTTTCTTTCACAAATGAGTTATTACAATTTTGGAGAAACTTGTGAATGATTTGATAGTGTTTGGGTGTGTGTGTAATTGGGTTTTTACAGACATGTATCAATCAAATATGATTATTTACGTCTGGGGACCGACCTTTAACGTCACCATCAGAAAAGGTTTAAATTTATCTTTTTTCTTTTTCCTGTTTGATATACAGTACTTCCTTGGAGCTTCAGTGACACTTCTAACTATTGCATTTGTGGGCAATTCCATCCATGGTCTCTTTCTAGCATATCTATCCAGTGAGTATAATTTTTAATTATGATATACATGTATAATCCTTGACATGGCACTAATGTCTTTAGGCAAGGCATTAGTCTACACTTGCCACTCCATACCCAGGAGAGAAATGGGGACCTGGTAGGATGACGAAAGCCTTTGTGTAGTAACTGCCATATGCCCCCATGGTGACCATATGATAGGAATACTCCCCAGGGAGTGGAGAAGGTACACATAGTGTGTGAATGAGTTCGATGACAGGGGTAATGAAATCTGTAAAGCGCTTAAAGACTGTATTTCGTTTTAAGCACTATATAAATCGAGATTATTGTTAAATTTAAATACGCAAACATCATGTGCCAAGAAATGGACATAAATTTAGACTTATTTCACATTATTTTGGTGAGAGGCATGTCAGCCTCAAAACGTTGTTTGATACAAGTAGAACTCAGTATCGCATGGTAAATTTGATTACTTTGCAATGGTGAGCAAACTTGTGTCTTCAAAGTTGTACATTCTTCTTCCTTTATGTGCATTTGTACTTTTAGCACTACACACAATGAGTGATTTCAAGTTGGGTGTTAGTGTTAGTGTTAGTGTTTAGAGCAGTCAAGAGCTCTTAAATCGAGCTAAAAATGTGCTGATGAAATTAAGAGCCCGATACCGATATCAATATCGATAGCTTAACACCACCGTAAACACCACTGCACTGCAATTGATTTCACTTGATTTCACGACGATGATTTAAAAATACTACATAAAAACTAAAGATTTCATGAAAAGCACAGAATAAATTTACACTTATTTCTCTGGGGTTATGAAATAACTTATTTTACACACAATAAATGTATGGATCACATAGTAAATGACATGTTGTTTCACATATTCTATTAATTCGTCAGCCAATAAATTAGCGTCGTACGTGAGTTGACTGTTGTTAGGGTACGTGTGTGTGTAGCTTGGTGGATCGGAGGGGGCGCGGCATCCATAAAATGAAATTTTGAAAGAAAGACCCCAGCCTTTAGGTATATGAAATGATTCATGTCATGATGTGGATTTAGTCTAGGGCTTAGATTAAACTAGTAATGCTCGTTCTGAGAATGTTTTTCATGTAGTGTAGTACCAATAAAAAAATGTTCTTCACTGCTAGCTCATAGAACTAGTATTATAACTAGATCTAGAGCTTAGACCTAATTAGCCTAGAATTAGAAGGCTAGATTGTAAAATGAAAGTTGAAAATGTTGTTAAAACCTAATAAATAGACTCTACTAGAAAGGCAAAGAAAAGGTAGGCTTATGCTTTACCTTCTAGGTCTACTTTGAAACGAAATCCCCGTTCGTTTCTAGGTGAGCTTACTTACAAACAAGCACATGAATGACCCATTTTAATATAAGGAAATCCGAAGGGACGAGGCGATCGGTCAGAGCCTTGACGCCGCGCCCGAAGCAGGCGCAGCAGATTTGCTGAGTGCTTCGCTAGACAGACGAACACTGCAAAGGCGCGAATATACAAACAATATTTTGCAATAAATTTAGACCCTACCTTGTTATTCTTCTTGGAGCTGTCTAAATATAGTCGACGGAAAAATCAGTGGTAAGTCAGCATTATTTCTTTGGCTAAAATGTTAAATAATAATTGAAATGATGGATGATGGTTCCTAGAAAACTTCTAATTGTAGACAGTTAGCTCGCTACGCGCATTACTAGACTAGAAGAATGCAACGTACAATCTTAATTGTGTGTGTAAAATGTAGTAAGCTCGACCACACACACACTAGTAGTGTTCACTCCCATGAACGCTATTTAGCAGGTTCTAGCTCACACTCGCGCCGGCCTGCCAGGCCAGGCGGGCCCGTCAGATCAGATGCGCTGTTCTAATGCGCGTGCCGAACCAGTGCATCGGGCAAGCTTTTTTTAGTGTGTGAATTGTAAAAAGGGAAGGATAATTATATAGGGGCGCTGAAAAACAAAGGCTATTTTTGGATTATTTGGTGAATCGGTGTTACATTATTATGTTGAATTAATTTGTTTTATTAGATTCTCTGTACTCTGTAGGCATATACTAGACTAGAACTCTGAGTCTATCTGACTTTACTTTCCTTTGACATAGTCTAGATCTACTCTTCTTCTCCGAGCTCCCAAAACAAGCTGCTAATCCCGTTAATTTTACTAAGTGGGCGTGGTTTTCAACCTCTTTAATATCTGACATTCGGGGGAGAGGGAGGGAGGGGGATCCTCAGATTTGGTTTGGACGGGGGTGTGCCGCTCAAGCCGAAACCACTAGGTCTAGGCCCATCGTTTAGAAATTTTTGTGTGAAAAAGTATGTCATAATATGTGATTAGGCATACCCCCCCCCCCCCAGATTGGGAAGCAAGTGACAATTCGGTGAATCTGAGTTATCTGTGTTTCTTAGGCATATAGGGCACATAATTATGCCTACCCATCACGTCCGACTTATAAGCAATATTAGCTAGACTATTCTCATTAAGCTGATAGTCATATGAATTGTATTGGACGGCAATATAGACTGAGGCCTAACTCGTTTTTTGTCAAAAATGTTCACGATTACTTATATCGAACTGTGTTTGTATTGTTGTTGTTCTTCAGAGAAAGGAGTATGAGGGGGGGGGGTGTACAGACATGTAGGCCTAGGCTTGGTTGTATCTAACGATGATGGTTCCTCCTTTCATCAATTCCTCCTTACCCCCCCCCCCCCCCCCCCCCGCGGAAGTCAATCTCAATTTTTTCAACATGTACGCCCCTATATGGCTCATTCCTCCACATCAGGGCCGTAGCCAGAGTTTGATGTTAGGGGGGGGGGGGGAGCACAAACATGTAATTGATCGACATCCTGGGGAGGGGCCTAAACAAGATCAACTGATATTTGGAAATTGGGGGGGGGGGGCACGTGTTCCCCCCCCCACCCCGTCCGTGACTACGTGCCTGCTCTACACGCCCGCTCTTCTCCCCCTCCTCCTTCTCTCTCCGACTCTCTCTCTCTCTTTCTCCCCTCACCAGAACGCAAACTACCCGTTGCAGTCAAATGAAAATATAATTGTTACACTAATTAACTCATTGATGACTTTGCTAACCCATGAATCTCAAACTATACAAGACTGTTTGTACGCCCATGCTTTAATTTATGATTTTTTTTCCCATCATAGAACAATGGCAAACAGAAGAAAGGCGTGGAATCTTCAGGGCATCATGGCAGTAATGCAGGAGTACCTCAGCTGCCACGACGTGTACAAACAAATGAAACGGAATGGTACAACTAAAGGTTTCCACAAAACGGTAGCTGACAAGCTCAGCTACCAGGAGAACGCAACCGAGAACCTCCTGAAGAACTTGGGCAGGGAGTACCGGGATATACTGCAGCACACTATGGTATCTGGTACAGACACCCGAGATCCGGTACTCCGGGGATCAACGGAGCTGTACTTGCTCTTTGAAGAGTACCAGCAGCTGTATTTCCCAGCTGGAGGACAGGTATGCCTATTGTCATTATTTGTTATCATTATTATTTCATTATTTCATTTTTTTTAATTTGTCAAACCATATATTACATGCTGGTAAAAGAGTGTAAAATAATGATGATGTATTTTATCAACAAGGGAGATATCTTTGGAAAAGGCTTTGTACATCTTTATCAGAAATATATAAATATATTGGGCCTACTTATTATAGGTTAGTAATAATGCATTAGAAACATGCATGAATGGGAAAATTGCATTGGCAAACTGGGATCTTAAAGTTAAGATTGCAAACCAATGGGAACTTTATTATGCATTCACTAACTGGAAAATGGAAATCATTACAAATTTCGCCTATTTGTTTTTATATAGATCAAACCTCAAGCAGTGATTACAGAAGGAGGCGTGGTCATCCCAGGGGAAGTGATAGTCATCCCAGGTGAAGGTGATGAGGAGGCGACGGGAGCCCCATCCACATCGTCCGCTTCTCCCCCAACAAATCGGAGACAGAAGAGAAAGCGTGACGACGAAGTAATTGTCCTTTTGGGAAGGCTTGTGGACGAGATGACGGCACTTCGGATGATGGTTGGTTCCGCTCTGGGGATCGACGTCCAGTTAGGTGAAACCGAGGACAAGGAACAATAACTATCCACGATGTACATAGGGCGTCAAATCGTTTTGCATTAAATATTATTTGGAAACATTATTTGAATTTCGATAGTTATGCTTAGTGTTGTGTGGATCTATATACAAGTTGTTGTTGATTATGTCAGAACAGAGCGACTTATACATAAAGGAGAAGGTGGGTTTTGGGAGGGTCAGGAAGTGCCACAATCTCATAGAGATATTTGATGATACAATGACAAATTACCTATTCAAAAACAGTTCTTTCTTAAACTGCGCGAGGGAGAATTATGGTTCAACGACAACCTGATAACATAACCTTTACATTATGTTTTTGTTTGCTCATCAGTTAATCCAAACTTTCAAAAAATAACATCGATTTGTGTATCTTTGTGAATCGTGGATTTCGAACACTCCCAGAACTAAACATTTCCTTTGCACTTAACAGAAGAAGGCTGAAATGATTCTAATAGTATAACAGAGCAAGTTGAATATTGTCTTTTGAATTTATTAGATATTACTAGATATACAGAATGATATGTATTATTATACACCTGAACGAAAATACAGGTTTCACAATAATAATATTGTGGTCTCCTGCGGCACATACCTGAAATGCAATGCATATTATAGACCCACCCCCCCCCCCCTTCCCCCCTCCCCCCCCACGGAATGGATGTTATGTATGTATATAATTTACATAATTTAAATACATAGAGAGGGAGAGAGAGATAGAGAGAGAGAGAGAGAGAGAGAGAGGGGAGACGAATAAGAACTAAGAGGAGGGGGCGAGCGTAAGCAGGCATGGGAACCGACGCCCCCCCCCCCCCTAGCCGAAAAAGTTTGAAAAAAGGAAAATCCTGCAACCGCCACTGAGCATAAGAAGTAGAGAGAGAGAGAGAGGGAGCGAGAGAGAGAGAGCGAAGAAGTGACGGCATTCATTGAGATGAACTGACAAAGAAAAGGTACATTTTCATTCGCAAATTTTTGTACGGTTTCTTAACTACGAGAATGATAGCTTATAAGTAATTTGTATATCGGTTGTGTAGAACTGCCATGGACACGATGAGTTTTGACGCAAAGATAATCCCTCCTTTAGCTGCGAGCCTGTTCTCTTTCATCTGAGCCATCCGCCACTTGAGCTGTGTCGCCCCGATGGTGCGCTCTATCACTTGTCGAAGTCTTGTTATATCATCGTTGAACTGTTGCTGCTCATCAGTGAGGCCGTGTCCCACGAACCGATGACCAACGTTGCGGTGGAGATTCCTGTAGGCAGGGTCCCCTATCGTTATGTATCCATCCGGGAGGTTGTCCAGAAAGTCCATGAAGGTCCTGCTCCATTCAGTGGCGGTCTTATCATGGGTTGACCCGGGGAGTCCTTAAAAAAGTAAAACAAATGGAGATTAGGTGGTGAATATATAGAAGCAGTTTAAAATAATTTACGTGGTTTGAGTTATGTTTAATTTGTGTTCAAAATTATGGGATGTTGATTTCTACTTTGGCTTTGCTTAATCTCTATATTATTTTATTACAATCAATTATGGACTGACATGTTTCAGATTAGAAATACATGGTTGAATAACATTCTCCACCTAAATTTGAGTATTAACAGGAAACTTCACAAACGTATAACAAAACTTATAATTGAGTTAGGTTTAGTAGTTTACAATTTGTCATGGATGTACTGAAAGCATAACTTACCTGTAATGATGTGACGAACTTTGCCGAATTGGTCGGTTACATACTGGGTATTGAGAGAGTCGCAAGACTTCCCATGCCTGCCGCAAAAATATGCGTTTCCCGCATGGTCAGGCCGCTGGATCCGCGCGATGTATCCGTCAATGTAGAGGATAACATTCTTTACCTAAAACAATCAATTGAAAATGATATTAGAATACAACAAATCTATACAAAAAATGTATATGCTTGATAAGGAGAAGGGGTGAGAAGGAAGGGAAAAGGGGGAGAGGGAGGTAATGGTTATGATAATAGACACGCAGAAAGAGGTGATATTATTATTTAGAAAAGAACCGATCCAAATTATAAAGCCGGTATCAAAATATGGTAGGGTGCTCTTTTTCCCGCAATGTGCTGATTTATATCATAAAGGTAAATAGGCGCTAGACTTATATGGAAATATATTTTTAAAAAGTAACAATATAGACTAGTACATTCATTTGATTTATCCCAATTCACAAACACACACACACAAACGCAATCTCTTTCTCTCTCTCTCTCTCTCTCTCCCTCATTTCTCCATCTATCTTTCTCTTTTACTTGACGATATCACCAAAACTATATAATAGGCTTATAGACGTCATAATGAAGTAGAATATTTGCATAGTATAAACTCACTTCGCCATCGGGATATCGAAGTTCTGACGACAAACGTTGCATTTCGTCATGTTGTGGTAGCTGTATATGGTGCCGTGCAATGTCGAAAAGGAAATCGGCTACAAGATGGGTGTGCCGGAATGCTGCTGATGTTGACAATCCGGCACTTCTCCCAACTTGCCGGTAGTACCCACCTCCTGCTAGATAATCCAATAATGTCATTACCATTTGCTCCGATTTCACGATTCCGCGGGGCCCCGCCCCCCTCCACGCATTGAATTCGCTTCCCAGCTCTTCAATCTGCCCTTCGTTAAGGCGCAGATAGCTTTTCGTGGATTCTTCGGTGGAACACGGCTTCCTAATTTTGTTCGGCTGACGCCGAACTTGAGCATTCAACATGATTTCACAGTTCGAAAACGCAAAGCTACACAAGATGATGTTATTGCATGTGATCAGCATGAATATATGCTAGGCTACTCTAATTTAGCAACACTAACACTAACACCGAACTGGAAATCAACATTTGCTTAATCCCTAGGGGTTAGTGTTAGTGAATAGGACATTTGTACGTGAAATACTAACACCAGCCACAAAGGTCGGTTCAGCAGACGACAATTTGGCAAAATCGATAACACCAGCTACCGGAAGTTGACGATATTCAGAGGTCAAAGTCTTAACACCAGCTGATTTCCATTTCGGTGTTAAGGCTGGTGTTAGTGTTTATTAAACACTAACACCAGCCTTAAACACCCAACTTGAAATCACTCAATGTGCTTGAAATAAAAAATAAAAATGAAAATTATTTTAAAAGCTAGGCAAGCACTTTATCAAGTTGTATGCAATGTAGAATCCAGCCTAGATAGGTAATAGTGAACAAACATGTAGCCCCTCTGCCTCTACGTGAAATACAAGTAGAAAGTTTGTGAAATCGGCCTTTTCAATGTGTGTACTTGTATCTAGAGTAAATTTTCAGGCCTCATTTTCTTTCTTTTTTTATCTGTTTTTCATTTCTTCCCCCCTCAGCTATATTTCTGGCATTGTTTCCCGGTCTGCTGTACTATGGAATCTTAGCCTCGTGGTACGCTAAGGTGCTTGAGGTGTTTGTCAATCTACTTAAAGGACACAAAAAGAGAGATTAGTTTCTTCGATCAAGTCTTCATACATGTAGTTACAGCTCTTAGTGTTCGACATTGGTGTAACACCACTTCAATGGCGGATGAACATTGGAACCTTGAAGTTTTGATTTTGCTGGTGTCTTTCGTCATCAAGGGTTAAATCTTCTAAGGCATCCCCAAGATGCCTAAAGGGCAGTAGATGGAGGTCATCAAGGCCTATTGAAATGCTGCCCACAAGTCTTGCTAAATGTGACATGAAAATTCTAGAACACTGTAGGAAATCTTGCAAATTTGCTGGTGCTCTATCTTTAACCATTGATTACCTTTCTACATGTTTAATGAGTTTGATAAGCCCCTCCCCCTCTCATTTTTTTAATGCAGTGATATGATGTTGAACATGCACAACTTGTATTGAAAATAATGATAACTGTCCATGATAACTATCCAGTAATGGCGGATGCAGGTACCAGGTATTGTAGTTATGGATTGTAAGGATGCCTTCCCTATAATATGCTTGCTTAGTATGCTGTGAGGGATTTATGAACATGGGAGGTTACCTTACAAAGTTTAAAGTGCTCTTTCACATTAAAAAAAAAACCTTTTCATCTTTTGGTAGCCCCCTGCAATGGCATGACTACTTTAATACATTCACAGTGATAATATGATGTTGCTCAGTTCATTGATGAACAAATAAGTATCATCTACATGTCAGTTTGACACAGCAACATGACTATTGATCCAAATAACTTACATTTCGGTGAATGTCAGAACAACAAAAAATAACATGTCAATTTTAGTGTTGAAACAAAATCTACATTTAAGTCTAAAGTACTTTGTACAGCATAATTGCAAAGACCTAAAATTGTGTTATGGAGTCATGGCTATTTAGTCTGTGTTGAAAAATAGGCCGTCTCCATTTTTAAAATATAAGTGGATATTTTTTGGTATTTTGTACATACCTCATCTATGAACCGATCTATTAAAAACTCATTACTATTTCTATTTTGGAGAAGTGATTTCTATTTTCTGGCCTTCAAACCAAAGTTATACACCCTACATTCCTTTTGATTTCTGAAAACATCAGTATATATATCCCTGATTTTGGCTATGCAGATTCCTAATTTTTGCTGTGAAAGTTAAGCTGGCAGGTATGGTAACTTGTAAAAACACATGTGGAAGGAAGTCTGTGAACATCTCAACATAAGGCAGTTCATGACCGATTTGTACTTCCTTCCGTTTCTTTTCCTCTTGAAAGTTCACAGGCCAATTAAGTTCAGTATGCAACTAAGTCAGAAATTCTGAACAGAAATAAAAACTAAGGTAATTACTTGAGTATGGCAGAATTTTGCTGGGGAATGGGGACCTTTTTGAAGGAGAGTTGTTGGGGGGGGGGGGGGGGTGCGCTAGGATTTTAATCCCTCCTGCTTTGATTTATGTTCCATCTTTTTGTATTTGCAGAAAACTTATTTGTTGAGATCATTCCTGTCAGCATTGATAAATTGTATTTTTGCGGGCAAGAGTTTTTTTGCTTCATCCAGTAACTTATCGGCAAATGTAACAATGATGGAACAAGCAGCATGAAAAATAGGTTAAGAGTGAAATATAGATCAAACAACTTGATTTCAATAAGATGAAGATATGATAATACTGTATGTTATAATGTATGTATTTTATATGTTATTCCATCCACCTGTATCTTACATTGAAAATAATTTGTATATATTATGGTATTTACAGTATGTATATAAATTTAAGATATTGTATTATTGTTGTTCCAAACATTGTTATTCCATTACTTGTTGTAGTTTGTATGTATAAATGTATATAAGATTTCTCTATATAAGTTGCATGTATATAATTCATGTTATTATTACTCTTTTACAGTTCCATTTTGCTGAAATATTCATAATTGCATTTAAATGTGTTCGTAAAAGATCTAGCAATCCCTCTAGGTGTCAAATGGAAGATATTCTAACAGATTAATGATTAATGATTATAACTGAAATTGCATAGAACAATGCCCTTGCTCATAACATTTACTGAATTTGTTCTTTGTTTTACAGTAATTTCTGTTATGAAAACAAATCTATCTATATGATTTTATCCAGTATATGATCAAAGTCAACTTGTTGAATTATAAGTCTAGTCAAAATTGATTAATTAAACAATTGTAAAACCTATTTCCAGGTCTTTTTCAAGTTACATTATTTGTTGATCCATACAAAATTTGGAAATTTTTGAATTAAATACTAGAAGTAGTTGTACATGTTTATCACGATTTTGACAACATACATGTGGTTGTATTTTTTTTTGTAAAGCATAATACATGTAGATATGAGCACAATGGCTGTACTAATTCACACAATTTTCCACCTTTCTATTTCTGATTTCATTGTATTGTTAAATTGCTTGTATGTACATGTATAAACCAAAGATATTATAGAAAGGATCTTCTTGGCCATATTTTGCCACGATTGCAAATAAACAACAGAGTACATTGTAAATGCAGCTGAGGGATACTGCAGAAAAGAATAAAGACAATCTAAATATCTAATCCCACTAATTCTTTGTGGTATAAATGTACTTTTTTTTAAAGATGTGATGGTTTGTGAATGATTCAAAGTGAATGGGAAAGAAGAAATTTGGGACAAGCAAACAAGGTAGAAAGCTTATTTGACTTTGACTTCAGTAAACATGTGTATTGTTCAGTAGGCAACATTCTACATTTTATCAAAATTTAAAAAGAGTTTGTTTATTTGTTTATTAGTATATATGTTTAATCATCAAAATATTTGCACCATTACCCAATGGTACAAAGAAAAAAAGAGTCACATTTGATACTTTTTTTTGTTAAAGTTTTGATACAATTGTTACTTGTTGGTTAATGTTGAATTCTGATGCAAATTATTAGTATTGAATTGTTCATCACGTGTTGATATTTGTAATGTTTGTAACTTTGTGCTAAATAAAAGTGTTTTATCTTGTTAATGATCTTTGATGAATTATAAATTTGTTGTATGATTTCTTTCTTTTCAAGTTCCATCTGATTCACATACTATGAATCTGAAAAACTTGAAACAAACACAAATGATCGAGCATACATTGAAAGGTTACATTGAGAATTGGCTTTATTCATTACACAATATTCATTCTTTTTATATTTCATTTGCCACTGCATATTGCAAGGGAATTACATAAACAATTGACAAAATTAAAAACATATTACAATAATGTACTGTTAATTATGTAAACATTAATGATGCATTGTGCAAACACAAATTACCAAACAAATTTCAAAATGTCATGTTTACGAATACATCTGGATACAGGATGATAACATTATTGTTGTGTTTTATTTTGAAGAAAAATCAAGACCCAAACTACTCAAGACCCAAACTATCTATGCCCCCCCCCCCCCCTTCTCAGGGAACAGAATTTACGAGAGCAGAAGACATATAAATTTAAATAAACTTTATACAAAACAAAGTAATCATCTGATGATACCTGTTAAGGAGACATGATCTAAAACACTATTGAAACAAACTACATGCAAATGTATGTTCTTGTACCTTAAACTTTCTCACAATATTGTTGTTTTTATAAATGAGGATTTGTTTGCGTATCTCAACAATTATTTCATATAGCGCAATGGAACCTGGTAAAACATGAATACAAGATGAGTGGAATTCTTCTTATAACAAAACATGTAAATGGCACTGATTTTTTGAGTTGCACAAACATGTGATTAACAATAAATGTACTGTACCTAAATTGTATTTGTTTATACTAAAGAGTGAAGACCTAAGTAAACAAACAAAAGTAAAAGGAACATATTACATGATTTACATAAATAATTGGTTATGTGTCTTAAACTGACTTCTTTGTTGAAACATATATAAGTACTATCAATGTAGAATAAACATCATGATACATACAAAATTCAATTCATAAGGTGAACAAAAATGAGTATTTACTTCTTAGGATAAATATCATTTTTACAAAATAATCCTAAACGCTAAGGATATCATCAGAGATGCCAATCTCTTGATACAAAAAAACAGACTGAATATCCTGTTAAAAAATCAGATTTTTAAATGAAAAATCAGATTTTCACGAAAACTCTACACTATATACCACTGGCCTGTTACTAAGAATGGGCAAGTAAAATGATTGCGCTTTCATTAACATTTGATGAGAAAATCGTAAAGCAATTGGAAAGCGATTCTGCAGTTTATAAACAACATTTTTTTGAAAGATGAACAGTCATATTTTCAAGAGGCGATAACATATTATCTAACTTCACTTTTTTAATCATAATACGATAAAACTGCTTTGCATCGCTGTATCATCCCACCAATAAGGTGCATTCATTCTTGAGGATTATTCATTAAAAGAAGAAAAAAATGCTATCAGAACAAGGCGATAGCAATCCCCCAAGACATTTGGGCTCTTCTTCTACACACAGTGCACTCTAGACTTACATTTAAATGAAGCGTAATCATGCTGGCCTTGAGATTTATTGCACGTGATTGACATTGGACGACAGGACTCTGTCTTATGAAGAGTTGCAACAGGCCATTTTTCGTAATGTAATCAAATTAAATGCACAAATCTTTGTTAAAGATAATCTTGAGTTCTGGTAAAAAAAGAAAATGAATTCTCACAGAATCTAACGAAACTTACACTGAATGTTCAAGATTACAAATAAATGTCATGTGCCAAACAATTTTGGAAGAAAATGTATACTGGCTGAGTAATGAGCATAGAAAGATAAGGAAATCAGGGTAGTACTAGCCCCGACACCATGTGTGTTGTCCCATATACATCTATCTGTGTAAGAGATTGTTACTTTACCAAGACTCTGCCAAATTTATGATGATTTTGATGACTCTAGAACCTTGCATTACACACCATTATACTTACATGCTATATTATGATCAACTTTTCTGATCCATTCCACACCTTTTCTTTCACAATGCAATCGCATTACCAGTACTCAAGTTTATCTTTAAGTGCCTCTCAATTTACAAATGATTTCTTTCCATATGTTACAGGTAATTCTATTTTAATCGTCAGAATGCGAATTGCATAGATTTAGATTAGGTGTTGTTACATGTAGGTACAACAAGCCATAATGTTTGTCCAAACTAGCAACAATTGAAATAGGCAATTAGCATTCTGACTATTGAAATACAATTATTCATAACAGGTGAATGAAATCATTTGTTAAACAAGGCAATTAACAAAGGTAAGTGCATTTAATTTGAATACATTTCGAAAATGGTCTGTTGATCTGAATAAAATGAATTTCCAATTAATCACAATTTGCGAGCAAAATTAATGCAAAATCCAATCAATTAAAGGATTCAAATATCACTCAGAACTGTTCATAAGACAGGCCCAGTAAAAAAAATTGATTTATATGGATAATAACAAATAAACACACAAACACAATTCAATCATTAGTACATAGCCACACACAATGAATTGAATTATGACTGATAATTTATCACATGCCGTGTAATGCAGGAAGGCAAATTTCAATATAAAAGTACAAATGCAAAAATATATACAGACTATGATGCAATAATGATTATATCTTCTATTGAACTGATAATATTCCTATGTACAGTATAGCAATCTCCATTGCAAATTCACATATCAATCATTTATATAATAATAATAATATTTTTGTGTTTATAGAGCACTTAATAATTAATGGACAATGTCCCTAAGCGCTTTACCTCTATACTATTACCCTGGTCATCGGATTCAAGCTCACCCACACACAATGCCCGCACACGATGTGTGCACATTCTCCACTCTGTGGAAGGATTCTGAAATTATTTGCAGTTAGTTTTACAACATTACTCCTAATACTACAACTTGAATGTTATGAATTTATAGTATACTAGCTATTAGATTTTCACTTTTGTGCAGATCAAGGGTATAAGATTTGTGTGCATCAATCTTGATACTTACATGTACCTACACTGTCCTACAGGCTTGTACTTGCTTTAATAAAGCACACTTCGGGGAAACAGATCAATATGTTGAAATGCTCTGAATCAGAATGGTAATAAAAATCATCATTCAGAGCATTTCAAAAACATAAATAACTAGCACAATGAATACAGCTCAAGATAAAGCTTCACCTTAATCTCTATCTGATTGTATGCAAGCAATATGTTACTCAAAATTTCTTGAAATATTGATTGCAGACTGACTTTATCAAATTTAAAGGAAAGACAGTGTAGACTATATTCAAATTACTGGTACGCACTATACATGTACATGTAGCGCTTTACTGCAATCCTTTTCAAAACCTTAAATGAGATATTCACAAGATTACTATCTATTCAACACTTGGCAGAGACATTTTCTGTTTGATTATTTCAGGCATATACACAAATACATCATTGAATTGAATAAAGAATCAAAAGATATACCCATATCTTTAAGCTCTGTTCAAGTAAATACATCAGCCTTGGCTGTATCTGTAATTTTGAATGTCTAGCATCTGCCACCATGTTGATTACGGAATGCATACTTTACAATTTTCAGTACAGTTAATTAGCAGATGAACAATTAATGCGGCTGTGATCTGGTAAAACAACGTATGCCATTTTTTTTTTTACCTTTTTTAAAACTTTTTTAGAGATTTGGAAAAGGTACATGAGTATAAAAAACAAACAATTTTCATCAGTTAAAATTTCAGTTTTCAAATTGATTTAAATTTTCAGAAAATTTCATCTAAAGTTCAGCAATTTCCCCATTTTTATCCAAATAATCTGGCAGAACAACGTATATCGACTTTAATAAGTTGTATTGCCAATATATTCACGTCCCGGTTAGAGATACGTTGTTTTGCCAGATTAACAACATCTCATGATAGCTTCCGGTTGTTCTGACAGAGGAACGTATCTCCGCAGAGTGATATGGCAGAACAACGTATCTTTGAATCTTATTCTGTTACTGTACACAGCTGCTGTGCGGCTGCGCTTGCACTTGACAATGTGTGCAAGGTATAGGGAGTGCACACTCTTGATCGCCTTCTTATACAACTATGGTACCTAATAACTCGCGCGCGGTGCAGGCAGAACTCGTTACGTTTTAGCTAATGCACTTTGTTATATATTCCCCCTCCCATTCCCTTCTTCAGGTTTTTTCTGCTTTTCTTTTCCGTTTGTTTTCTTTTCTCAACAATACAGTGTATACTTTTTAAGGGGTTGACGTACATAAGGCTAACTGCCCTTTTTGTTAAATACACATTCCCATAAAAATTTTGTTTCCTCCTTCCCTCTGTATTTGTCTTGTAATCAATCTTTTTATCTGTATATCATGTTTGTATGTTTTAATGTTTTTTATGGAGAATGAGATAAATGAAATGAACTGAGTGAACGTGTGCATTATAATGCAAGTACAGCTGGCTATTTGGATCCCGCGCAAAATTTATTGGAACGATATTTTGATCGTCGACCCCCACATCGCCATATCCGTGCCAACGTCATAACTATTACTGTTAGACGTAGTCGACGTCGCCGTGATGGCGGCACGTCGAACAAGAGGGCAGGTCATCCCTTTAGCTCGCTTTGCAGAAGGTCAGGAAGTTGAAGCAAGGTAGGTCTATCTAAAAGTTAGTTTAGTAGGCCGAACAGTTACACTACAGCAAGGGTGGCCAACCCGCGGAGCTTTGAAAAAGTAACGATAAAAAAAGCTCATAAATGAAATGCGGCCTGCATAGCAGCGATGAAAACTGGTAGTCCCCTTCCCTTTACACCGCGTTCAATGAGATGTACAGTGTAGGCCTACAACTAATAAAGTTAAAATATTCTTTCTGCTGTGTCCTTGATTTTGTTTGAAATAACAACCAACATGGCATCGACTTTGAGACCTGCGAAAAAAAGGAAAGTTTCTGATGAAGGCAGAACTTTAAATCAGATTAAATCAGAAGTATTTCTTCATAGAAGAGAAAGGTAAACCACTTTGCCTCATTTGTCACCACAGTG